AAGTCCACGGGGTATGGCGAGTCAACTGTTTCTAGAATTTGAAAAAAATCTCTTTTCAATTGTGCGCTGTCTCGATTGTGCAGTTTGTCCAAAATGGCCATGCAGATGTCGGTACACGGACGAACCCTCTTTGGAAGATGAAGACGATGCTGCTGTAGCATCCGACCCCACCGCATATGTTCCCTCAAAGAAGATTTGCAGTTAGTATCAATTGAAGAGTGTCCATTTTTTTAAACAGGTACAGAACAGTTCAATGTCGCATAAGCATATTTGATTAAGAGGTGCGTGATGATGGAGCTTCAACAAGCGGCATACGACATTCTTCAAGGAAGCGGGCCAAAAATTTGCCGCCATTTGGAGGTACTTGCAGTGTGACTATTACAAGCTACTAAAATAGTGATAACATTATACAATACTCATGAAACAGTGCACATTTTAGCAACATTTTCAGATGAAAGCAGTAATGAGGATTCCAATCGGCCCAACTTGCCTTCATAAACCAGTGAAAGTCAAGAGAAGCATGTGGAGTAAAGGGAAAAAGTTGTACAAGCGATTGACGAAAGGAGCGGATACGAGCGGCAGTGGAGCAGGAACAAGTAAACAACGCCAGCCTACATTGGTGTACAAGGTTTCAATGGTGCGCTCTCGTGATGAGCACGTCGACTCTCTCGAAGCCATGCTTCTTACCAAAAATGACGACGAATCCACTGCCTAGCGCTGCGCCGCTAGAGCATGAGCAGCGAAAAGCAGCGAAACTGACGGATGCAAGCGGGATCAGAAAGATGGCAGAAGGGCGCAACCAGCACCATTTCCAAGGAGCATGCGGCGGTGAAGCGATGGCTGGAACGATCGATCAACATTACGTTGCGGAACCGTCGACGCAAGGTGAAAGCGAATCCGCTGTAGAGTCCCCACTAGAACCAGCTCCATCGATAGAGCAGAGGACAGCGCCGAGAACGATACCGATGTACAAGGCTTCAATGGGGCGCTTTCACGATGTTCACGCTCGCCCACTTCCGCCGTCACATTCATCGGAGATGAGCACGAGAACGCTGCCTCCTGCTCCGCCGCTTGAGCACGGTATGTCCCAAGTGAATATGGGTGTAAACAAACACTTATTACAACCATCATTTCAGGGAGCCCATTTGAATTCGTTAACGACGAGGTGACAGATGAGCGCAGTTCGTCCAAGACCCATTCATTGGCGACTCACAGTTGTGGACACTGTGCAATGGCCGGCGATGAGACGAAGACAACTAGTCATTGAAGACGCCAAACGCGATAAGGCCAACTCTCCGGTAACGGCTGAGCGGCTGCTATTATGGGCTAGTATCCAGTCGAAATGGCTTCTTCGATTGGACACCACTCGAAAACTGGACAGTTTACATACATCATCGCACGAGTCTCCTTCCGATTTCAGCAATACGATCCCTACCATGAGGTCTCTCCATTTGACGCAGATAACCGACTAAGCTGCTCATGGCAGCTTACAGTGATGCATACCAGGGAAGAGAAAAGCGTCGGTAGTGCTCGTGCTGAAACCGGCAACCGCTACCGCGACAGTGGTACTTCTTGGCGAGATGATCCCATCAAGCTCATCGCAAAGGTATAGCTCTTGCGTGAGTTACGACGAGTCTGCAGAGAGTTGCTATCCGGTGAGCACTGCTCCCGAAAACGCTTAACTGTAGAATCC